AGCAAAGAGACCACACACATTCTCCCACAGCGCCCTCTGCTGACCAATATCATGTACTGCGGGTTTGACTTACTGAGATTCATTCAGGAAGGAGAGATTATCAACAAGGATTTTAAAATGACTTCCTCACAAAATATGTAAACTCGCGTCTCTACAGTGAAAGCTAGTCATAATAACGCAATAAACAGTCTCTAAAACAATTAAAACGATGTTTACAAGAAAAATCAGTAACTCACCATGAAAAACGATCCAAAGACATTTTCAAAAATAATAAGTAGAATTTAGTTTGTTTTTTCGACATTAGCAAAAGCGACTTAACGAAAGCATGCTTGGGAGTGTCATGCAAATAAATGTTAATGCTAATACATTTTCTTACTTTTTGGGTTATTAACATGTGGTCAAATGTAATATTTGCTAACTGGTTATGACTGTTTAACAGCTACAGCTATGGTTATAATAATAATCCCACACAGATCACAAACTAAATAGCTTAACGACATATATCTTTTTATAATTATTATTTTAGAAAAATAGCGGCTTACATAGCAAACATAGCTTAATAGCAAACATTTCTTAATATCATCACTAAAGCAGAATTGGGTAAGCTAAATTGTCCATATGTGTGTGAATGAGTGTGTATGTTCCCCAGTGATAGGTTGCAGCTGAAAGGGCATCCGCTGTGTAAAACATATGCTGGATCAGTTGCCGGTTCCTTCTGCTGTGGTGACCCCAGATTAATAAAGGGACCAAGCCGAAAAAGAAAATGAATGAATGAATAAAGTTGAGTAACCAAAGGTGTGAAAAGACAGAAATGACTTATTCAAGCTACACGGGCAACTAGGCCAGGGGTTCCAAATCTTTTCAGCCCGCAATCCCTAAAAATAACAATGCCAGTGACTCGCTACCCCCAAATTCCTCAGAGGAAGTTATAAACATACAAGCATTGCACACAACAATAGGCCTATATAAAAATGAGCATATTGACAACACAAAAAGTGTAAGAGTCTAACAACCATATCATTTTTATAGTCTTTTATTGATTTGTTTAATTGGGCACAATGTTTTCAGCACAAGTCTATTCTTAGTTTAATTTTGGAGACCGCCAATCAGAGATCATTTTCAATATTCAGTTGTGGCCTGCATTTATTTTTAATATACTGTATTTGCTTGCCATAAAGATGTCAAAATGTTAACCTGGTGCAATAAAATCAGTCTGCAGCAGCTGACACTATTGCTGTGTTGTTAACGTAAACACACCAATCCTATAACAAACTAGTAATTTAAAGGCGGACGGATTTTCATTTGCATGTTGTTGTTTTTTTACTACTAAAAACCACTATTTTATCTTCTGGTGGTTTTGAATAAAATATTGTAACTCTAATAGTTTAATGAAAATTATTTGATTTTGGAAAAATCTGCTGTGTAAAACATATGCTGGTTAAGTTAGCGGTTCATTCCGCTGTGGGTTTCCTCCGGGTGCTCCAGTTTCCTCCACAATTCCAAAGACATGTGCTGGTTAATTGGGTAAGCTAGATTGGCCATAGTGTACGTGTGTATGAGTGTTTCCCAGTGATGGGTTGCAGCTGGAAGGGCATCCGATGCGTAAAACATATGCTGGATAAGTTGGCGGTTCATTCCGTTGTGGCGACCCCTGATTAATAAAGGGACTAAACCGAAAAGAAAATTAATGAATGAAATCACCAAGCCTCTCTGTCATTGAAAGATGATTGAAACGAACATGAAACATGCTTGCATTGCATTCAAAATAAAACATGTAAGAAAGCCTCAGCTTGATTAGAGCAGTTTCACCATTAAAAAGACCTGAGGCGGCCAAGAAGCACATGCTAATTCTATCAAACATTATCACAATATTGTGATCTGCAACAAGTCTGCTTTCACACTGGCTCCACGTTGAGTGAAAAACTATCAAACAGGGTCTGGATTCCTCTCAAAGAGCATAAGGAAATAATTCCCTTCTTTAGGGAGCAAACAACTAAAGCCTCAGCATGACATGCTCAATAAATGCTCTGCAATCAGACTTTTTTTAGGACCACGGTTAACAAATAGGAATACATGCTTTTGATTTTCTGAAAGCAGACATGCTATTACTTTGTTAAACATTCCATCTGACAAATAAATAAACTATTAGGTAAACACAAGGTAGATATATTTATATATTTACCTTTTAAGGGTAGTACATATAAAATAACTTAATTTTTATGGTAGCTTTTATCTGATTTTTAAAAGTGATTTCAAATAAAACTTTAAAGTTTTTTTATGGATGTATCCTTGCATGTATCGTTTACCTCTATACTTGTTATATGTATGTAAAGCACATTGAGATGCTACTTTTAAAAGGCGCTATATAATAAAGTTTGGGGGCGACATGGTGGTGCAGTGTGTAGTGTTGTCACCTCACAGCAAGAAGGTCACTGGTTCGAGATCCAGCTGAGTTCTGTGTGAAATTTGCATGTTCTCTTCGTGATCCCATGTGTTTCTGGGTGCTTCGGTTTCCCCCCAGTCCAAAGACATGTGCTGTAGGTGAATTGGGTAAGCTATAATGTCCACAGTGTATGAGTGTATGTTCTGGTCCCCCAAAATCTAGATATTACGAAACACCTGTATGGTGCGGCTAAATATCAACTTCAATATAAATGGCTCTGGGGGTAAGTAAGTATATAACAAAGTTTATTATTATTATTTACAGACTTTATATTTTTACCATTAATCAAAAAAGCTGGTTAAACTTTGTATTCTCACTACACATCATATGCTGTTCTTTGGGGTGAAATTTCCCCTTGCTGTTCTTTTTTTGCAATGATTATCTGAAATTTCTAAGTCCCAATGTTTTTCTCTCTCCCATCCTTCCTCTTTGGTAGACATCTGATAGAAGTGAATGTTTTTATGAGCTCATATAGTGAAGCACTTCTCAGCATGCAACTTCCCAAAGCTCTCCCTCTGCTAATCAGGTTTACACCATCATATATCTACAATGTTCTTCCTCAAAGACAGCCTTCTGGTCAAGGAGATTCAAAGATCATACAAAGATACCCATTGCCATGTTGACAAATCTCATGAGTCGGAGCCATGTTTGCTTTTCTGTCTGTTTAAAAAAAATGTCAAAAAATTGTTGTTATTGGCCAGCTCCTCATATCCTTTCCCATTCCATTGAAGATGGTGTCTGATTGAAGTGACATGCCAAACCTCTGGCCTCCCGCCCTTCACCACAAATCGTGGATTGGATCTATATGGCTCTAATAGACCTCATCACGTTTCATTACACGGAAAATTACAGAAATGCAAAATCCTTCAACCACTTCCAGTTCAGCAGAATCCTGTTTATGGGCCGTAAAAGACCATGATGTGAAAATGCTGCTCTTGAAGGTTTTTTTTTTTATTGCTGGAGGTATCAAAGCCTTTTGAAGAGTCTGAGGTTTTTTACAGGCTTAATTTATATGGAAATGTTGCTGCAGAGTCATGAAAAGAGATCAGCACATTATTGTAGACCTTCTGAAACAATCCATTTTGGACTTAGCAACAACAGTCCACACAATCTGTTAATTATAAGTTGAGGCCAGAAAATGCATTTACGTTTAAGGATTTAAAATGCAATTTTCAGCTATTTTTAATCAAGATAACAGTTAACATGACATGAAAAAATTGACAATTCTTATTTTAATGGAAAATTGCAGTATTTTTAGGACATTTTTTATGAATGTGTTATTGTAATCTTTGATTTAAATAGCTTCTACCTCTTCAATGATCTCTCTTTACTGAATATCTATTGGGATCAACTTGTCAATCACATGAAATCCATGAATAACCTACCACAATCATCCATTTTTGATTCAAACTTTTTTTAAAGGCCCAGTTCACCCAAAAATGAACAATTCCTCATCATTTACTCACACTCTAGTGGTTCCAAACTTCTTTTGTGGAAAACAATGCAAGGCATTCTGAAGAATGTTGCAAAAAAGCATGCCATTAGCTATGTTTCCATCCACCTATTTTTATGCGCATTTTGGATATGCGCACAAAAAAAGAGGTTGATGAAAACGCTATGATGCACATAAGTTTTAAAAATGCACATAATAAACGTATGCGCATGACTCAGTAGGATAAACTTTTGATTCAATAAGAAAAGATGCGCATAAACTACGATGGAAACATTTTTACCAAATAAATTCCAGTATGCGCATTAAAAAGTCATGTGATTTTGTTTAAGAGTTCATGTCATGATAAAAATGTGTGAATGGAGAAACCAGCAGGCTGACCGCATTGTAAAACATCTGAAATGTTGTTTTGGTCATTCTAAAATGCCTTACCGTTTGAGAATTAGTGTTCATTCATTCATTAATTTTCTTTTCGGCTTAGTCCCTTTATTAATCTGGGGTCGCCACAGAATGAACGGCCAGTATAAGTGTTCTAATATTATTAATTACCGCTAGAATCAAGAGTGTCTCATACCTTCAAACACCAACATGCATTCATTGCATGTCGGCATTTGCCTTCTAAGGCGCAAGGAATTTATTAAATAAAGAAGAGATTCATGCAGCTTTTCAAACCGCAACAAATTCTGTTTTAACTGTTGATATTTGGCACCAGTTAATTTAAGACGTGACAATTTTGTTCTCTTGTTTGATGGAAACACTGCTTTATTCCCACGCCTTTTATGCAATATTCCTGTTTTGCGTATAAATTTTATTCACAGTTTTGGATGGAAACATAGCTACTGACATCCACTGTAGGAACAAAAAAATCTTATGGAGGTCAATATCTTTTCAGTAAATATCCCTTTGTGTTTAACACAAGAAACACAAACAGGTTTAAAATAATTGGAGGATGAGTAAACAATAGTAAAATTTACATTTTTGGGTGAACTAGAATTTTTGAAAGATAAAAAAACTTTCCAAACATTTCCAGACACAAATATAATCTGAACAGTTATGCAAATTTTAAACATGATTGGAAATGATTATATTTTCTCTGTTTGTCTTCAGTTCTGTCTGTGAGAGGCAGTAAGCTTTGGGAAGTGCCCACTGCTCCTCTTGTACCCCACACCAACCTCAGCACCCGACTGTTCTGGGAGCCACAGTGTCAGGCTCAGCTGCGCCACCTTCAGAACGAAGGGAGAATTACCGCCACAATACCACCGAAACTAGAGGGCCACTGGGTGTCAAGCAGGTAAGATATATTATCCATTCATTTTCTTTTCGGCTTAGTCCCTTTATTAATCAGGGGTTGCTACAGTGGAATGAACCGCCAACTTATCCAGCATATGTTTTATGCAGCGGATGCACTTCCAGCTGAAACCCAGTACTAGAAAACCCCCATACACAATCATTCACACTCAAACACTAAACCTATCCAATTCACCTACAGCACATGTCTTTGGACTGTGTGGGTACTGGAGCACCTGGAGGAAACCCACGTAAATGCGGGGAGAACATGCAAACTCCACACAGAAACATCAACTGATCCAGCCGAGGCTCGAACCAGCGACCTTCTTGCTGTGAGGCAATAGAACTACCTACTGTGCCACCGCGTCACCATAAGAGATATTATTTAAATAGAAAATAAACCTACACACACACTGTATACAAAATCGTTTTACACAAAGAAAAAAAGTGGACTAATGTGGGGAATATTGAATGAGGGTTGGGGGGGGGGTGATTTCGGATACAGCCACAATCAATTACCAGCCACGTTATAGGTAGACCTGTTCAAAAGCTTGTTAATGAAAATACCTAATGAGCCAATCACATGGCAGTAACTCAGTGCATGTTGGCAAGCAGATGAGGTCAAGATGATCTGCTGAAGTTCAAACTGAGCATTGAGATTGGGGAAGAAAGGTTAAATCAAAGGGCCATTATTGTGGTGCCAAACGGACTGGTCTATACATGTATTTCAGAAACCAAACTTTTCACACACAATCATGTTTTGGGTTTACAAAAAATGGTCCAAAAAGAAAGAACATTACCAGTGAGCAGCAGTTCTGTAGCAGAAATGGTTTTGTTGACACATTTATTCATTCATTCATTCACTTTCCTTCAGCTTAATCACTGATTTGTCAGAGTTTGCCACAGTGGAATAAACCATCAAGTCAGAAAATGACCTGACAGCTTTAAGCTGATAGAAAGATAGTAACTCAACAACTCATTATAACTGACAACCCATTTAACATTGAAGCAGATGAGCTACAGCAACAGAAGATCAAACCAGTGCCACTACTGTCAAAAAGAACAGAAACCCAGGCTAAGGTTCACAAAGGTCACCTAAATGCTTCATCAGAACAATAAAAAAGGTTTTCTTGAGGTTTCAATTTCTGCTACGACATTCAGATGGTGGGGTCAGAACAAACAAAACAAAATGAAAGCATGAATCCATACTATCTTGAATCAACAGTTCAGACGACCACTGTAATGTGGTTTAGTTTTTAGCACACTTTGGGTCACTCAGAATCAGCTGACAATCATTTAAACAACACAACCTGCCCGGTGTACTCCTCTTTTGATGGCTATGTCAAACAGGATAGCACAAACTATCACAAAGCTCAAATCATGTCAAACTGATTTGTAAATTAGTTCAATTTACTCAAATGTCTTTTAAAGACATCAGATCTCAATCCAACTAAGTATCTTTAGGAAGTGCTGGAAAATTATATAATCATCATGGATGTGCAGCCAACAAATAATTGTTAAAACCAGGGGTTTAAACAATGCTCAAAATTCCTAGAATTCCATCCCATTATAGAAGAAAATAGTTTTCAATTGCCATGCTGACAAACCTATTGACTTGAATCCTTTATTTCCTTCTCAGATGTGAAGTGCGGCCTGGTCCAGAATTCCTCACTCGATCCTACACACTCTACCAAAGCCCCACGCGTCTCTTCAGGGCCCTCCAACACTATTACTCCGACAGCGAGTGCCACGTCCCAACCTACTCTCTTGTGATAAGGGGTAAACTGCGGCTCCGTCAGGCCTCGTGGATCACCCTTGGAGCCACCGAAGCAGAGCACCACCTCCATAAAGTAGGGATGGTCATTCACAGTCAGAAGGCCATCCATCATCTGGCGACCCGCTTGCCCTCCTCCTGCCTGGGACTCAAAGCTGAAGGACACCTGGTGCTCCATCGCTTCTATGAACTCTTCAATGCCAAAGCAGAGAAAGACTGTCTGGGTGCTCTTGGGTTCTCCATGATGGAGCTGGAGTTGCTGCGGGTGGAGACGCATCATCATCCACACGGCAGACCGGCTCAGGAGCTGTTCTTAGGGGATGTTCACACAGACTGGAATGAAAGAGTGCACTATAGGCCAAGTGGTTACCAGGAGCCATTACAAAATGCAATGGTGAGAGTTAAGTCTACTTTTTATTTGTTGCCTAAAAGTGCCTTTGGTATGCTAATATGATTGATATGATGGTTATACAAACTCCCTAGTTTTTCACGATTCAGTGATCGCTGCATCCAACACAATATCATCAAAAAGCTGAAATTTTTTGCAATCCTGCAAAATTCTTAATTTAAATGCAAAATAATTGCAAAAAATGTAAATCATATCATAAAACATTCAATTCCAAACCATATAATCAAAATATGTTTATTTTAGTTTGCAATTAATTGTTTTACATGACTTACTGACATTGAATACGCAGCCCACGTGATGTATTTGGGCGTCTCTTGAAAAATGACGTCCCACCTCACCCTTACATTGAGAGGGGTAGGATGTTTTGCAACTTATGCAGTAATTAGACACTGATAAAGCGAGTGATTTACATGTAAAGTCAATGCAAAGATGGGATTAGACCTCCTGTGGAGTGATTTGGACACTTTGTACGTTTGACGCGTTTCAGACCGCAATGAAAGTGGGAATAAACATCTAACAAACGGAGAAGTGGAACAGACAGAAAAGCAAGCAGCTTACAATGAAGGATGACGGCCGCTGAACGCGACTGAATTGAAAAACATTATTTTTGCTTTACATATATGGCTGGTATTAAGATGCATGTGAAATCGATAAATGCAGTTGCAATCAGAATTGTTAAACCCTTTGAATTATAAGTCCACGTTTTTTTTTCTTTTTTTCACAATTTCTGTTAACGGACTAAACATGTCAAAACATAATAGTTTTAATAACTAATTTCTATTAACTGATTTATTTTATATTTGTCATGATGACAGTAAATAATATTTTATTAGATATTTTCCAAGACACTTCTATACAGCTTAAAGTGACATTTAAAGGCTGAACTAGGTTAATTAAGTTAACTAGTCAAGATAGGGTTATTAGGCAAGTTATTGTATAACGATGGTTGGTTCTGTAGACAAAAAATATATAATCACAAAAATATATAGCTTAAAAGGGGCTAATAATTTTAACCTTAAAATGTTTTTTAAAAAATTAAAAACTGCTTTTATTCTAGCCTAAATAAAACAAATAAGACTTTCTCCAGAAAAAAAAAAAAGATCAGATAATGTGAAAATTTCCTTGCCCTGTTAAACATTCATTAATTTTCTTTTTGGCTTAGTCACTTTATTAATCTGGGGTTGCCAGAGGCGAATGAAATGACAACTTATGCAGCACATTTTTACGCAGCAGATGCCTTTCCAGCTGCAACCCAGTACTAGGAAACACCCATACACAATCATTCACACACATACACTACGGAGAACATGCAAACGCAACACAGAAATGCCAACTGACCCAGCCAAGGCTCGAACCAGTGACCTTCTTGCTGAGAGGCGAACGTGCTACCCACTTTGCCACTGTACAAGAAACAGAGCGTAGAGATTGATATACTCATGCCAAAGTTGTTGGCATGCAATGGATGCATGGTAATGCAACAATGTATGCTATAGTTGAGATTTCTATGAACTATTTTCAGTCTTGCCAAATTTATAATTTCATGGAAGCTTGCCTAAATAAAAGCACATCCAGCTTTTATTTTTTTAGCACTGGCACAAATTATTGAATATTTAGTGTCTCTGATAATGGAGGTTTGTTACTTTCTCCTTGCATTAGAGCCAACAAAATATTCCTTGCCAACTTTAAAAATATGTTTTACTAATAATCAAGCTGATTTTGATTAAGTGAGTTTAACTGCACAAATTAGGCTAGAAATAAGCTCGTTCCACTACACAGAAGCAAGTGAACTGTTGATGTATATATTATTCTAAAATTTGGGGTTGGTATCTTTTTTATGTATCTAAGTCTCTTTATATCTGATGTACAAAAAGACTGTATTTATTTGGTCAAAATAAAGATATTGTAAAAAATATTACAATCGAGATAAAAAATGTGTTCAGTTCCACATTGATACTCCTTTAGATATAATTTAATGCTGATCTGGATCTCAAGAAATAATTCTTATTATTAATGTTGCGTAATAATTAATTTTATCATTCATTCATTTTCTTTTCGGCTTAGTCCCTTTATTATTCTGGGGTCGCCACAATGGAATGAACCGCCTAATTAATTTTATTGTGGAAATTATTTTTTCCAGTTCTTTGATGAACAGAAAATTTAAAAGAACATCAGTTTAACGCATACTTACGGATTAAAATGACCTTTTATCATTCCAAAAATGCACTACTCCCTATATTACTAATAATATGTAAAAATATATAATATGCTGTAATAATTATAATAAAAAACATATTAATACAATCAATCAAAACATTGTTTTTTACTTTCAGCATCACATCCACCCATGCCCGGTGTGCGGCCTGGTATATCGAGCCTCAGAGCAGCATCCGCCCATTCTCCCTCCATCCCCTTCCATCCCTTTGAATCTAAATGGAAACTGGGTAAGCCAACGCTGCGAGTCCCGTCCCGCCGTCCTCTTCCTCACCCGCCTCTTTGCTTTCAACGAGGAGCAACGCACTTGGGAGGGCACATATCACCACTACTCTGACCCAACGTGCCGCCAGCCCAGCTTTACACTATCAGCATCAGGTAATTACGTTAAAGTGGGACAGTCCATAAAAGTACGTGGAGCCACCGAACTTGTCTTCAAAGTGACACACGCAAAAGTAATCGTGTTCGACCGGGCGTTGTTAAGAGAATTGAATTCAACGCAAAATGGAAGATGTGGACAAGCAGGTGGATGGGAAGCAGGCATTGAGCAAGACATAACCTGGACGAACGGTTGCGATGCATTGGGGATACGACTTCCACACAAAGAGTATGAGCTGTTTAAGATGGAGGTGGATCGTAAAGGTCATCCACTGTTATTCAATGGGGAAAGGCCAACGGATGGATCCAGCCCGGAACGACCTGCAAAAAGGCCAACGTCATTTCAGACACCAATGGTGCAATGCAGCACAAGCGTCAGGGTGGAGCCACACCACAGTCCCTACAGCGATCATTCAAAAGGACCCAAGAAAAGCTCTGCTAATGCACTGCACTCTTCGGTGATCCTGCTGTCGCTTCTGAACGCATGGATTATTCATCTTTTCTAAAATATGACAAGCCATTCACATGCATTGTTCAATTTTATGGACTTACAATCTAGAGGTGGAAAAACTAGAGAAGGATTATTGACTTAGGTGCTACGACAAAACGCTTGCTGCAAATGCTCTGAAATAAGACTTTTATCTGAAGAGAGTTTCATTTAGCAAAAATGTACATAGAAAATCTTTTTAATCATATATTATATCAGCATTCATTTTGATGTCTATTGTGTTTGATATTTGAATTAATAAAGATAAATGCCACATTTAAAACGCAATTGTTCTGTAGAATATACAGTTGAAGTCAGAATTTCTAGCCCCCCTGAATTTTTAGCCCCCCTGTTTATTTTTCCCCCCAATTTCTGTTTAACAGAGAGATTTTCTCAACACATTTCTAAACATAATAGTTTAAATAACTCATTTCTAATAACTGATTTATTTGATCTTTGCCATGATGACAGTACATAATATTTTACTTGATATTTTTCAAGACGCTTCTATACAGCTTGAAGTGACATTTAAAGTCTTAACTAGGTTAATTAGGCAGGTTAGGGTAATTAGGCAAGTTATTGTATAACAATGATTTGTATTGTAGACTTTCGAAAAAATAGATAGCTTAAAGGGGCTAACAATTTTGAACTTAAAATGGTTATTAAGAAATAAAAACTGCTTTTATTCTAACCGAAATAAAACAAATAAGACTTTGTCCAGAAAAAAAAAAAAATTATCAGACATACTGTGAAAATTTCCTTCCTCTGCTAAACATCATTTGGGAAATAGTTTTAAAAAACGAAAAAAATTTAAAGTGGGGCTAATAATTCTGACTTAAACTGTAGATTTACCGACATTCCAGTAGAGTTACCGAAGATTAACAGTCAAACGCAAACTATGCACCAATGCTGTGATTTTGAGGCGGGACTTTAGTTGAGACTGACCAATGGAAGACTTGAGAGTTGTGTATCTTTCAGAAATAATCATTATTTTTGTAATTAGTGTGCAGAAAGGACACATTTCAGATTTCAAACCAAAGACATGGGAAATATGGATGGACAATCTGATGACTGGGAAGGAAGAAATTAGATTTTATTTTCATTGAAGGGCACATATGGACTACATCAGACATAAACTACTCTGTATTCTTTCAAACATTGGTCTGTTGTCTTCAAGACAAGGTGACTTGTCTCATTCTTCCATCTAATACATTTTATGTAGCATTAATCTTTTAATAACGGTGAGGGTGAACATATTTATTGCTATCATTAAAGTAATTTTGATAAGAAACTCCATTGATGTTTTATTTGAAACATAAGTTTGCATGTTTACACTCAGATAATTTATCGTGTGACCATATGCACGTTTGGTGAGCTCTTGCACAATGATTCAATTCTCCACATCCAATGTTGAATACATGTGCAAGACATTTGAAAAGAGCTGTCATATGGCTTCCACATTATGCTGGCGCTCGCCAATATCTGAAGCACGAGTTCTCAGAAATCTGCGTACAATTCTCTCCCACTGTTTATTTGGAAGAGCAGGAAGTGTTCAACTCATTCAGTCTTAGTTTAGCAGAGCGTGCAATTTTCTGTTTTTACAGAGTGGAGCGATTCCTTGTTCTGGAGGCAATCTTTGGAAGTAAAAAAAAAAAAACATTTCCAAGACATCCAAATGAATCCGTCAAACATAAAAGCGTATTCATGATACTGATTGTTATAGTTTTGACATGACCCTTACACAAATGAACAATAGTTGGCAAATTACCAAAGCATTTACTACTACTGTTGAACCATATTGTATACACCAATATACAAAATGAGTATCCTATATTAGTTACAAGGGTTTATAGAGATACTTATACTACCTGACAAAAACACATTTCTAAACAGAATAGTTTTAATAATTTATCTCTAATACCTTTTTTATTCTATCTTTGCCATGATGACAGTAAATAATATTTGACTAGATGTTTTTCAAGACACTTCTATAAAGCTTAAAGTGACACTTAACGGCTTAACTAGGTTAACTAGGCAGGTTAGGTTAATTAGGCAAGTTATTGTATAATGATGGTTTGTTCTGTAGACAGTCGAAAAAATATAGCTTAAAATGGTTCATAAAAAATGTAAAGCTGCTTTTATTTTAGCCGAAATAAAACACATAAGACTTTCTCTAGAAGAAAAAATATTAGAAGTCTTGTCTTATACTAAATGCTATTTCAAAAAATTCAAAGTTCAAAGCTGAGCATGAAAATAAATTAGGATGCTTAATTTTGCAACGTTTATCAATGCAAACACTTAATACGCAATTAATTGGCCAAAAATATTCCATAGACTTCAGTTTACTACTCTATTTACATTAACTTATCCTATCATAATAACCATCTGCAGGCTTAACTCTTTTGGAAGCATGAAAGCATGGACTTTGTGGTTTTTCTGTTAAAAGTAATGAAATAATGTTTGCTGGCCGAGGGACGTAACGGAAGAGAGTTCAGAACGAATCTGTGAGTCACATCTAGAAGGCAGCAGATTGTTTATATTAAATCTAGTCGAGGATGGTGGCTCTGGGTGCCATGAGGTAATGCTTTCTGGTTGTAACAAGAGTTACGAAGGCTGGGATTTTGGAAATATTAAATGGAGAGAGAGAGAATAAGTCACATTTCCATACTGACACTCAAAAGCAGCTGCATCTGTTACAAGTTGGCCAATAACAACAGATGAACTGAAGCAAATGCTGCAAAACTGATTAAAAACAAGTGACAATTTCTTTCTGTGGTTACAGTTAAACTAATAAAAGCCAACTGTCAGGAGATCATGTTGCACGAAAGCCTGAGGCTCATAATCACGCTTCTTGCTTGTCAAAAGAATCTATAAAAAGATTTAATACAAGGCCTATTTTACTCTGTTCAGTGAAAAGTTATGAAGCGTAGAAGCATGACTGTGTCCTAGTTACGATGTCTTTGCGTGATGCTCCACTGCTCCAATTATTATTGTTAATGGGATGGGCGTCTTTGATCATTGGCTTTCTGATGCAAAACAACGTGCTAGAGAAGCCGATCTAAACTAGTGGGTCCTGCCAAGTCAAAATGACAAATAAAACCAGCTTATCAACTTTTAAAATGGAAAGAGGCACATCAAAGGCTGTCTGCATCAGTAACCAGCAGAAGAAGCATGACATTCTCAAAAAACAAGAACAAAACTACAAAAGGTGGAGAAAAACAGACACTGACTGCAGGATATTCACTTCCAAAGAGGATGAACATGGAAATTAGATTGTGTGGTCAATATACTGGTTTCTAGAAGCATTCATTCATTTTTCTTTGGTTTAGTCCCTTGTTTATCAGGGGTCGCCACAGGGGAATGAAGCGCCAACTATTACGCATATGTTTTATGCAACGTATTCCTTTCCAACTGCAAGCCAGGATTGGGAAACACCTACAAGCAGTGACATACAAATGGCTTCAAATCATAGAGTACCAATATATAGATGTGTAGTTTTTTTTTAAATACATATACATAGAGAGAAAAAATTCTTCCAAAGAAGAAGAGGCTTTATAAGAAAGTGTTGGGTGCATATGAAGAGGGAAAGAGTGCATCTCCTATTGATAATTTTTACATGACAATAGCAGCATGCAATGGGCTTAATGCACTGAAGTGTTTTTCAGCCACAAAAAACCTCCGGTTAAAAGGTTGATGTGACTATCTTCAATTTCATAAGATTTGCTTAACAGCATTGATTTTGTAATTTAATAAAAATAGAGTCCTAACCGTTTATTTGATTGTTCAAGCATAAAATTAGATGAAAAGCCATTTAAAAGTACATTAAGTGCTATCAGGAGTAATGGAATTGAATGTAGTGCTTCTTGTCTGATTTGAGAACCACTTTATGTTGTTTCTCAATCAGGCAGCGTAGATCACTGATTTTGAACATACAAGGATCTTAAATCCGGCGAGTCCCACCTTCTTTGATTTTATCATAGGGCTGTGCGATTTGGCCAAAAATCAAAATCTCAATTAATTGAACATTTTATTTCGATTACGATTAATGAATGATTGAATATTTTATTTTTTTATTTTATTTTATTGCCCACATAGTTCATCGACAAGTTTTGTAGAGTAAATACAATCGCATTATAAAAGTGAGAGATTTTTGAATGAAGGGTGGTCTTTGCCCTCTGTCGTCACGATACCAAACCGACCAATCATAAAGCTTTTTCTACACATCATTGTGATGTGTTAGTACATTTTTTGAGAGGTGCAGGAGAATGTGAAAGCTGCGCCGGACTGTTGACATGCCCTTGGCAAAAGTACAATATCACAATAATATAATAAGTATAAAAAAAGTATCATTTAGCCTTAAAGTGGGGTCATGTGACTCCACATATGGTAGGGAAAGTAATTGAAAAATATTGACCTAGAAAAATATGATAGATTATAGGATCTGAATGTCCAGCTCATTATAGGATGTGAAGTCTCAGCTCAAAATTCCACACAAATAATATATTATAACCCTCTGAAATTGCCCCTTTTAGGCTTTACAAAAGTTCTGTTTTGGTGACTGTCACTTTAAATTTTAATAAGTCTTTTCAAAAGAGGGAGGAGCTAAGAATGCCTATCTGTGACCATAGATTCAAAACAGGACTAATGTTATCTCTGTGAAAACTGAAAATGTGAAAAGAAGTGGTTCAGAAGAAGGCAGTTTAGAGACTGCAGTGTTCATTTAAGCATCTTAAAACTCTACATTTATAATCCTCCTAGTCGCTGACATTATCTTCAGCAGGTAAAAACTCTAAAGCCAGATGGCTGCTTCTCACTCAGGGCTGTCTATGCTAACGAGGGAGAGATTGTCACTCATGAGTGGGGTTTTCCCCACTCACAAAAGGGAGAATGTCGATCAAAGTGTTTCTGCAAACTGTTTTTATGCAGTGCGATTATAAAAAAACGAATTAATTATTTTTTGTCATTAGTGTCTGGTTATATTCACACACTGTTGCCACACGACTGTATTTACCGACTGCATTTTTTGCAAAATATGTCTCCTTTAAAATGTCATTGTCTGAACTACAAACAGAGGAGTAGAGTTGGGTGTAACGTGTTCCACAGTAATGCATTACTGTATTCTAATGACATTTTTGAGGAATGCAATAATGTAAAATATTACATTTTAAATTTGTGTAATTTGATTACAGTTACTAAAGTCAATGTAATTGCATTCCTAGCGTTACAAATAAAGTTTTTAGAAGAAAAAAATGCTTCTTGTAAATCACGTTTCCCGCTGCAATGTCAGTTAATGAGTATGCCTATTTAAATTGCTGGAGAATGCGAGCTGAAATGGTTGCTATCGAGAGTGGCTGCTTCGTCAAGTGGAAATACAGATATCACTTTGATTTAATTGAGCGTAATAACA